GGCCCGCATCATATAAGCAGGATATCAGCTGTAATGACCTGCCTTAAGTTATCTTATCTTGCTTCTTGCGATCTTGATGCCACTTATATGGGCACCAGCATTTTGCCAAGTTTAACTATGTAGTGTTCCTATTCTAATATATAGACTTAATCTCACCGGATTTGATCCAGCAAAATTTGGATTCCTCGCAAATGGTTACTCAGATTTGGCATGTCTCGGCGAATTAAAGATATATTTCTGCATTACCCAAAACATTACTTTTCTCAACATGTTTAGAGTATGCGCATGGACGACGACACAATGCAGTTCTGATGGTAGAACGTAAGATACATTGTTTCTCTAGATAATAGATTTAACGAAACCATTGATTTACCCTTGCCATACAAATCACTGTATAATTACAATGGAGTTTGCTTTGTCCTTTGTTCCACCTGCACACACAAAGATGGTGTGCAAGAACAACTTCTTGCTGCGTCTAACTTAAAATTATACAATACCAAAAAGTAATTTGCGTTTTGAACGGCTTCGCTCTCTTGTTCTTTACCTATAACTATTTTGTGTATAAGTCTTTTCCGGAATGGGCTTTATGAAATTGAGCTTCATCCGCTAGTTAATTACTCTAAAATCAAGCGCTTAGAAGACGTTGAAGTCCTGGTGCGTGACTACAACTTTGATTCAAAGCCTAAGGAGATGTACATGATGAACAAACTTTTGAAGGTTAGTTATTTTAAAAATAATATTTTTGATGCCTCAATTGGTTGCTTTATCAATGATATTTTGGTATAGATACATCGCAAACGTATGCGTAACGAATTATATGAAACTCCTCTTGATCGACATGTCCCAAGTGACATTGAACACTACATTAATGATGCCAAAATGCATAGCGGGCGTCTCTTTTTGAGCGTCAGATTTGATTTTTGTCGAGCTTTCCCTCACATAAACATGCCAGTAATTTTTCGGCGCCCTGTAAGTATTGATTCATCATGTTTTACATGGAACATTCCTATTATTTTATCATTTTGCAGGATCCTTCCTCTTTCGTACGGGCAGAAAAAGTTAGCTACATGCAAATTTTTTATTTAAACTTTGCTTTTATGAGAATGTTTAATACTTGCATTTATTTAACTATCAGTGGAATCCTGTTGATGAAATGTATTTCAAACTTACTCGTAATGCTCGCACTGCCGATATAGACAGAGACAGAAAACCAAATAAAGAGGCCCTTAATCTTCTAAAGGCTAGTAAAATATTAATATAACATTATTTGGAGCTTGCATATTTTGGAAATTTATTTTTTACCTCTCTTCAGGCCGTGTTGGACCAGCCCCCGGGCAGAGATCTTTCTGAATCCGATGGGGATCTTATTTGGAAGTATCGTTTTTATTTAGCAGATAAATATCCTGAAGTAAGTAAAGTAATTATATTGACCTCTTTTTTGATATACTCTTGTACGGATGAGTTCGCCTTTTTTCAAGTGAGCTAGTCTTATGCTCTTATAAAAGCCTTTTTTACCTTGTGTCTACTACGAGAGTGGTTGAACTTCCTCGCAATAAAATGAGGAGACATTACGGTTGTATATATTTCAATTTTCAGTCCTATATTGCCTTATGCGACCTAAGACTACTACAGTTCTTGCCAAATATCTACTAATAATCTTGGAACATACCCAGTACGCACATCTGCCATTTTATCTACAAATATTAATCAATTAATCTTATTATAGGCTTCACTTGCGAAATTCATGTTTTCTGTACGCTGGGAATACCCCGACCAAGTTGCTCAAGCTGTTGAACTTCTTCGATCATGGCCTTATGTTGCCCCAGAGAATGTCCTTGAATTGCTTGTTAAACAATTTGTTCATCCAGCTTGCAGAGGATTTGCCGTTTCCCGGCTTAAAAATGTTAAGGATGAGGTATACATCCAGCTTTTGCTAAATAATTTATCTCTTTCATTTTATTTATTTTAGCACAATAAATTGAAAGCCAACTTGCTTTATCTGAATAATTTAGTATTAAACATTGCAGATTTAAAAAATTTCCTTTGGAAAGCAGAAATATATTCGAGAAATTAGTCTTGCATAATTCGTTTTAAGATTTTTAATTTTTA